GAATAGGATTGTTGGAGTAAAACATAAGAAACCTAGGCTAACCCTCTATATCATTAACCCGTTAATTCACCATAGGATAGTTGGGAGATGGTTAAGCCACTATAAGTAAACATGGAGATAAGTAGAGGCTCAGTGCATGAAATTATATTGTGTGGATTGCCTAGACCCAAAAGGTGAGAAATAGGTGAAAACTTTAAATTGAGGATGGTTGTTGATATCAAATGTCTATAAAATAAACATGGGAAAATTATCACTTCTCTCAAAAGCCTTTATGACTCGAGCAAGTAAGTCTGTTGGGGTTTAAAACCTGATATCCTAAAGCCAACTGGTTTGGGAATTATCGACCTAAAGTTCGTTACAGGGGTCATATAGAAAGCAAGATAAAAGAGAAGTTGACAAAATTCATCTTATCGAACCTTTATAACTCGGGTGAATAAGGCTGCAAGGGTTTAAAACCTGGTGCCCTAAGACCAACTGGTTTGGGAGTCATCGCCTAAAAACCCGCTACAGGGGTTATATAGAAAGCAAATGAGAAGATAAAAAAAAAATATTTCAAAAATAATGATAATAATAATAACCCCTGTTGGACATTTGATTGATATGACTTTAACCTTGACGCGAGGTAAGTAGCTTAGTTTGAGCTTAAGGGTTGAAACAATCAAATTAAAGAGAGTCTCTACTTGTTGATATGTATACTAGTAAGGGTGAGATCTATCCAAACTAAAAGAGGGTAAGGATTATAGTTGTTAAATTCCTAACCTTAGAAAACACCCCAAGATAATTGAGTGCAAAGAATAAGTTTGGGGGATTTGTGTATCTCTTGAGTGATGTAAGGATAAATTTGACCATTATGGGTCGAGAACAAACCATTCATAAGCTTGATAAGTTGGCATGAGTTCACACACACACGTTGAGTATTGCAACTGACGAGTAAAGGTTAATTTTATTCTTGCAATATTGATATAGTTCTAGTGGATTGCTGAGTTCCAATCCTGAGACACGGCAAGCTATTAAGCCATGTTAGTTTAACTCTGAGTCACTGCATTGTTTGAGGACAAACAATAGTTTAAGTTTGGGGGATTTGATAAGTGTGTTTTTACACACTTATTTGGATCATAAACATGACTTAAACATGGATAAAATGGTTGAATTGTGACTTAATCCAGTTAAATTTATGCATTGTAGGTAATTCAATGGAAATTGTGGAATTCAGGAGAAAAGAGCCGAAGAAGGACCAAAACGCAACAATTTGATAGTTCGAGGACCAAAGCTGCAAATATTGAAAAGTTGAGCTAAATGCAAAAAGAGAGGGAAGACATGCCAAGTATGAGCTCAATGACAAAGCAAAACAACTGGAAGAAGAAAATATTGAAGAGGGACTGAAATGAAGACAATTGAAAGTTGGAGGACTAAAGCGCAAATACTCAAAAGATATGCCGAATGAGGGGCATAAGAATTGATGGTATCAATCATCAATTGGAAGATAAAATTTGTTGAAAAGATGAAGAAATCGAAGAAAGAAGTCAAGAGAAACAACAAAGACGTTCAGGGACCAAATTGAACAAACCACATAGATGTTACTTCTATGCGACCGCATAGTGTAACCTTCTATGCGGTCGCATAGAAGGCTCCAGGGACTCAATGAGCCCAAACAAATTGATCTATGCGACCGCATAGATTCCTTCTATGCGGTCGCATAGAAGGATCTTTAACACTCGGGACCGCATAGAAGGATCTTTAACACTCGGGCGCGGTTTTTCGTTTTGGTTGAAACTCCTTCCCTACTTAATTTGGACGCGATATAAATACCAAAAATCATCATATGAAGAGGCAGAACGACCAGGGAGAAGGAAGAGACCAAAATTGGAGGCAAGAAACTTGATTTTGGATTCAATTTCACACGGGCTCGAGACGGGATTGAAGATTATACACACGGATTGAAGAACTTCTATACGGGTGTATTCTTATTATCTTTTAATTTCGTTTTTTTTAATTTCTTGATTTTGCAATGAAGATTATAGGCTAGGGTTTTTATTCATTAGGAATTTGATGAACCTTTTGATGATTTAAATTTCCGTTATTTCATATATTCAATATTAATTTCGATTGAACAAATGTTTGATTTATGTGAGTTGAATGTTTCCATAATTATTTGGCCAATTATTATGTGATTGTAGATGATTTATTCTTTGCATTCGAAAGAAGGGGAATAAATTCGATAGAATATAAATCGACATAGGGTCCGATAGGGGATGGAAACTTACCTCTATGCTTTATGCAATTCATGAAAATGTTCATAAAAAGTCATGCATTCTTATACATTGCATCATCCATAGAAATATAGGCTGGTGATGTGTAAGAGTAGATTCAATATATATCGAGAGAGTGTATTGGATAATTTAGGAACATTGAATTGGCATTTTGTTCATCGATTCGTTGAATTTGTGAAATTAGGGTTTTTAATAATCAATTGGGGATTCAAGTTCTTAATGATTTCATTTCAATTCATTTCAATACAGTAATTCTAAAATTGCGTATTTACATTTCAGTTGCATATTTATTTCATTAGATCAGTGAAATTTTGAATTTAGGGTTTCCAATTTTGAAATTAGGGTTATCTTTGCAATTAGGGTTTCGAATTGGGGATTTCTCCCAAAATTAAGGTTTTCATATTTAAACCAAATTTTCATTCAATTAGATTCGGTTAAGGTCACATTAGTCTAATTAGAGCTAATTTAATCCTCGTGGGAACGATACTTGGACTCATAGTCTACTTTACTACTTGTTAACGAACCGTACACTTGCGGTGGGTTTTAAAATCGAGAAAAAATAATTTTGCGAACAGCGAGCAAAAAATTGGGGAGCATATATTTCTATCCCTACCTTGGCATTGGTCCCAGTTAAAATATCATGAGATAACTCCCTTCCGGTCGAAAACTGGATCCAAATGAGCAGAGAGGTGCTTGTGTTGTCTATAGTGGAGGGAGGATGCACATAGTTTGGAGTCAAAAAAGGAGGAAAAGGAAAGAAGGAAGGGATTGAATCCAAAGAATGAAAAGAATAAAAAAATATCCCTTCTAGACATATTTACAGGAGCCAAGGGCTCAATGGCTAGCCCATAACAGCTAGCAGAAGAACGAGAAATTGATGGAGCACCAAGGAACGGAAAATAGGATCTCAACCACAGTTGAGTGAACCAAAGAGGTCTACTACCAGTGGGAGATGCACCATTCTTCAATTGAGTTTGAAGAGAAGCCATACCTCTATAAAGGGCAGCCAAAAAGAAAGAACATAAATTCAAAGGCCTGCCACGCGCCAATTCGTGCGCTATGGGTAAATAACTCAGGGAGGGCTTTATGCTTGGCACACACAAAACATATTTACAAAGCCAAACCAAAATAAAGGCCACTCGCTCAGTACGGGAAGACTCAGCGCTCGAATGGTTATGAAGGGCTTGCAGGCTTGAATAAGATTCGGTGTAGTTTTTACCAAACTTTGGGGTGCCACCAGAAACCAAGATACCAGGAAAAATGGTATCGCCCAAAGGTGGTAGATTCACTAGGGCCCCAACATCCGTTAAAGTAATAGACATGGGGCTAAGAGGGAAAATAAAGGTATTATACGCAAAAGACTAAAAACTCAAAGCGATCGAAAAAAGTGCTGAATCAAAAGTAGGGAGTTGAATAGAGATTTCTAACAAATCAGAAATCTTAGCATTATCAAAAAGTGCCTTAGTAGGACCATGGCCCACAATACGAGCATGCCACCTATGGAAAACTACATCAGATTTAGGCTAAGTGCGAATACCTCTTTCGCGAAGTGGCCCCAGCGGCAGAGAGTTTAGAAATGGAGGGCCTTGAGTACAAGGAAACAGCTGGTCCACCGCCGTCTGTTCGACTGCCTCTGCATTGTTGAAGAAAAGACCTAGGTAGAACTCATTGAGTTCGACATTGGCGGACGCGAGAAAGCTCGGAGTTATGTATGGACGACTCGGAAGTTTCTGAAAGTCATCAAAACTAAAAGAGTCGCCAGCTTGAGATTGTGAAGTAGCCATTAGGGATGAAACGGAGTTTTTTCAAAGTTACGTAGCAGGGAAGCAAAAGATGAACAGTAAATTGTGGGAGAGAAACGCGAAAAAGTGAGGCGTGATTTAATAGTTGGGGGTTATAAGGGTTTGCAAAACGTCGCACCTTTTCAAGCTCTGGAAGAAAATAATGATTGAAATTCTTGGGAATTTCGAATGTTGCTGGAAACACAAAGTGAATATGGCAAAATTTAATAATTGGTATTAATTCTGCCATATTGGGGGGTAATTGTTGACACATAAAAATTCAGCCCAAATCGAACGGCCCAAGGAATGAAGCCCAATTGGAGGATCCCCAAATCAGATAGCCCAAAGAACGAAGCCCAATCAAACAATTCAAGATGAAGGTCCAAGAACGCGGTAACACCATCGCCCAAGTTTGCAAGTCGCCCAGAATCTGAACGAATGGAGTGCCATGCAGTCGCCCAGAGCTGTTACTCTATTCTCGCCCAAACCTTCGAGTCGCCCAAGGTCTTAGCAAACATAAAATGTTGTGGTTATCAAGAAGTGCAGTTATCAAAGCAGTTATTAAAGCAGCCTATCACGTTCCACGATTCAAGGAATTCAATCGAAAATGGTTGAACGACGAAGAGTAATGGCAGCAGTTAAAAAAGGCAGTTCCATGACAAGTTGGCCATTACGAGGAAAGTGGGCAGTTGTAGAACGATCAAGCAGTTTTTAGACGGTTGATCACAAAGAGATCATCCAGGGAGTATAAAAGGAAGAAAAGACATAGAGCAGGGGACCGAATCAAAAACTCTCGAACAGAGAACATGTAATTTTAAATTCCTTAACTTAGATTTAAACACTTTTTTCAGTAACTCGTGTGCTTGCGCCCCTTGGAGGCATTCTGTTTTTAATTTCTAATTGTAAAGTCATCGTCAATAAAAGAACACCCCTTTTTGGGACATTGTCTCAAGAGGTTTGTCCCTTACACAATCGTCTGATCCCTTTTAATTGTTAGCGACTAACACGTGCGAAACAATTATATCTACTGAGCCTTGTGTATCTAATTACAACTTTTACATGTTGCTCTCTTAGTTTAGATATTGCTTTAGCATAGTCTAATGCTTGTATTCTAATTATTACTTTCATAGTGTAGATGAATTTGATTTCTCAAAAGAAACATTCTAACAACTCACATGTACTTTCAGCACCTAAGATGTCCCGATTGACTTGCATAAATGAGCCTACGCTGCTTTAGAAATCGCGATCTAATAACTCTTCCACTAATAGGTTTGTACCTCCTCTTTCATTGCGACATTAATTTCAAGCCAGTAGGTTAGTACCTCCCTTATCTCCAACATCTCAATCCCCCAAAACTTCTCTATACCAGCTTCGCAAAATTGCAACTCGGTCAACCATCGAAAATATTTCCACTTGTTATGCTCCTTTAATTGAGACTACTCGTACTCCTACACATCCTGAGACACCAACTAGGACTCTTCCTAATCCAGGTGCAAATATGATCTCTCCAACAACAAGCCTGATCAACCACCTTCTCATCCTATGAGTGCTGTTCGTCGTCACCCAAGTTGTAAACAAAGGTTCAGGTACTATGCCATTTTTTAAAATTTTCAATTCTGATTTGCAATAAGCATGATAGCTGTTGCATAGGTTGTCAGTCTTCACCATCGCATAGTCTGTTGGAATTAATTGAATTTGATTTGGGTTTGATTTGGGTTTAAAATATTAAATGTAATATTTAATGATATGGGTCATTGCAATTAATTTGAGTGAATTGGAAAAGTCTCCAATATAGGCCCATATGTTGATAAGCCCATTTTAAGTGATTTTTATATGGAAAGGAGTCCCACATCGAAAGTTTACAAGAAAATAGTCTTGTTTATATAGTGGGTTGTGTAAATAATATATAATTTAATATGTTACCTACCACTTGGCTAACTTTAGCTAGCCAAAGGCTAGTCACCACTAGAGTGGTGCTTCGCACCACTAGCACCATTCCCCGGACCCGGACCCGGACCCGGTCCCGGTCCCGGCACGCGCACGTCGCAAAGTACGCATTGGGCGCTTTAGAGGCGCACTTGGCACGTCGTCGCGAGGAGCTGGGGAGCCTTATAGTTTTCGGAAATGGACTCGTGGTTCGATGACGTGGCAGCACAAGGCTCGATGAGTTGGCATTCTAGGTGGCGCACGAGTGGTAGGTCGCGTCCCTTCGTCCTGCATGGCGGTTAGGTATACGCGTGGCATCCGTATGGCTGTGACTATTCAGAAATTGGTGAATAGGCATGATGAATGGACACTTCACTTCATGGTTCAATCTGGGCCGTCAGATCATAAAAATAGTGCGATCCAATGGCTAAGACGAATCAGACCAAGTGTTGCACCAGTTCCTGAAATGTCACACACCTGTTCCATGAGACACTTCAATCTCTATAAATAGGGACCCCCATATTCGTTTTTTGACACACCAAATCAATTACGAATTCAATTGATTTCTAAATTCTTCTATCTCCATATTCTGCTCGAAAAAAAAAAAAAAAATCTCTTATACTTCCGTCGTTATTCCGTTCAAGTACGATCATTCATTGGTTCGACCGACAAGGTTGGTATTGTGCAGTATCGACTTTGGAAGGAGCGTTGTATCTTGGGAGACAGACGTCCATAATCCCGTTTGCACTTCATTGGGGGGCGAAATCTGTCTTAAGGAGATTTGCTTACTTTATTAGCATACCTCGCTTCATTTACTGTCTATTTTTCTACTTATTTTATTTCTTCTTTTGATTGCGTTAGTCGAATTTCCGACAACATAGTCTACTAATACGTGTTCTGATTTTATAGAACTCACTTGAGAAGCTGCATTTTTAGTTTTCATGTTCATTTTTGCTTGATGAATTGACCTTTACATATTTATGTGATTTTTTCATCTGAAATTTGTTACTCCTGAGGTCCATAAGTTTCCCCAGATAAGCTTAAAACTCAGCCAATCTGTTACTACCTAAATTTTGTGGTGCTTAAGAAATTGCATAGCTGGAATTTTGTCATTGATTTTCAGCATTTATTCAGTTGCTCAATTAGAAATTTTCAAAATTGTATTTTGAATTTATCTCATTTTCTGAATTGGTTATTACATTTGAAGTACTTGGGTTTAATTTAATTTGGTCGATTTTAGCATGAGTCGATTATTATATATATGCAATAAACTTATCCTTTGTAATTTTTGGGCTTTGCTCAATTTGTCTCCCAGCTTATCGGTTGAAACTTGACCTCCTAGTTATATCTTGTATGTCAAGGACATAAATAGATTAGGAGAAATGGTAATGTGACAGTGATTTTAAGGCATGCAAGTACACAATTCCCTCAAAATAGAAACTGAAAGATTTGCCTGTTGAATTCTTCCATTCAAAATCAACTATCCTCACTTGTTTCAGCTATCGATTTGAGTTTTTGAGATTTTGAGCAGTGACCTGGGAACTCAAAGGGAGGAATCCGAGCCATTTACTGTGTTTGGAGGTTGAAAATCTGATTGTATTTACTGAAAAGTAATGATCTAGCTGTTTACATATTAATTAATGCACGAAAGTAGAGCAATTAAAAGCCAATTTAGACTTTTTACATAAAATGGACTGTTTGGCTTGACTACAGAATGCTAAGACTTGTCTTCAATATGTTAGACTTAGTATTCTATGCATAGATATAATCTTATATGTTTGTTGATGTGTCAAACACTAACAAACTTTAAATTGTTCACATGCTTAGTATGAAATGTGTACCATTTTACTGTGGTTCATATTTTACTTTTTATCGAAACTATTTTCTGCAGAATGATTAGTCTTTAATTTTTGGGTTGATGCAGCTATATTGTAGCAAAATATGTTATTTCTGAGGTCCAAAATTTTCCCCATATAAGCTTAAAGCTAAGCCAATCTGTCACTTTCAAATGTATCATGAAAAGCTGTTGCACTCTTGTCATGACAATCAATTCATCTCTAAATTAGGATTTTTTTTTTTTACTTGTAATGCCAATTTGATGTTTTGAAACTAACAAGTATGGAAATGTTCTCCCAAATTAAAAATGAGTAAAAATACATGTGCATTGAATTCCTTAGATATGTTCATTATTATATCTCTTTATCAATTAATTTTGTTTCAATTATTTTCTAAAAAGCAAGTATTTAAATTTTTTTTTTTTTTTTTTGGAAAACTCATGTGATAGGCACAGCAGAAAGTGAACATTTTCATAGAGCTGAAGAAGATAATGAGGCATTGGACGATGAAATAGACGATTCTGAAGGTAGGCTGTTTATTTTATGATAGTCAATTTTCTTACTTTATAAAGTTCATTTACATGTTCGACTTTTATTATTGGTTTTGCAGGTATAGGTATAGGTGTAGGACACTTGCCAAGGACTCTCGATGATCATCCTACTCGAGGAGCATGTAAACAAATTAAGACATCTCGTATCGTTCGTACAACTTGAGAGAAAATTCGAGTTTTATACAATTTAGTAAGCAGACGAGCAACAAGTTCTGAAGTACATGATTTGTTGGTTCACGATATCGGAGCCATCATTCGTTCACATTGCCCAATGAATATGAGTTATTAGCAAACCATTTCTCCAAGTGAGAAAAATGACCTTATGGATGAGATCACGGTAAGCATGCGCAAATGTATTTATGCTGCTGGAAAATTAATAGCGGAATAAAACTACATGAATCAATTAAAAGCACATTATTCATTTGATTTTGCAATGTTATTTATATTTACTTTGTGCCTTATTTTCTAGAATTGGGTAGTTCGTTATAATTATGGTTTTTTTTGTATTTTATGATTTTTTTTTAATTATGTCAATTCCAGCTGAACTTCGAGATAGATTCGAAAGACTTAAGATTGGAAAATTATATTAATAGACTATACAATAGGAGGTACAGGTAGTTCAAGGTTGAGTTGAGTGCATATTATAAATTGCACAAGACACGTGATAATGCATTAGCCAACCCCCTTTGGAGATGCTCGATAAAGGTGTAAATCAATTGGTATTTATTGTGCAATTTCATATCAGTTCACAGCTTTTATTTCTAATTTTGTTATGGAATATCTATATTTTTCTTTACAAAAGGCATCATCACCAAACATACTGAATCGATCAAAGAAGAAGTACAATCATCGTACTAGTTCACGTCCTTTCTCATACATAGTGGAGAAGATGGCTGAGGCAATGAATTCATATGTTATCAACATGTACTTAATTAATTAATTTTGCTAAGAATTTGAATTCAATATTTGAAACATGCATTTTTTTATTATTAGGATGGTTCGAAGTTTCTCGAAGTCGACACATTTGAGTTTGCTTATGCAGGGAAGAACAAGTGTTGGACTTGTAATGAAGCTAAAGCTCAACATGGAAAAAAGACTCAACGTTATAAATTTGTTTTCTTTATCATGTTTTATCTACCATGTTAGACACAAAAATTATATGGCAAAGTTAGATTAAAAAATGCTAGAAAATTATCATTAGATTAAGTAGTATGACAATTTTTGTACACTATTCTTGGGGCTATTTTAGAAACGAACACTGCCATGGTCAAAATGTTTTTGAGAATTAATTATATTTCTTAAATTGTACTATATCTCTTGGATACAGTTGTGTTATCTCTTGCAAATTTTTATTTTATGGGCTGTTTTATATATCTTGTTGATTGTGTTTGTAGGATGAGATGCTTGTCAAAAAATATAAATATCTTGTAGAGAGGCAAAGGAACAACAACTTCTCGAAGATACCCCTTCAGAGGAGATACCTGTAGATGATCCTGATGTCGGAATCAATATCATGATATCTGTTGACGTCCAAAAAATCAGCTCGAGCATACTTTAATCTAAGAAGGAAAGCTTATGAATATTCATTAGTCACTTCGAAGATGATGGACTAAACGGTCACCAGGTCAACTCATGGAGGTCAGCTCTACCCATGAGCTCCACTGAGGTAGGTCGCTCATCTCGAGGTCAACTCTACCTATGAGCTCCATCGAGGTAGGTCGGCTCATCCCGAGGTTAGCTATATTGAGGTAGGTCAACTCATCTCGATATTAGCTCTACACATGAGCTCTACTAAGTTAGGTTGGCATTGAGGTTAGCTCTATGCATGAGCTCCACCATGGCAGCTCAGCTCGACACCATCATTACAATTCTGGACATGTGTCTCTTAAATGATGTCATAACCACCCGGACGACCATTCCCAAAGCAACAAGAGCCCAGGTCATGATGACTTGTTCAACCGACCTCTACAGCTAATCAGTATCCTTGAATTTAGGATATGACACATACTTCTAGGTTGGTACTGTAGCTGATGTGACATAGGAGGGCCAAGTTGCTTGATTAGAGGCCTATAAATAGATACTAATGGTATTCCTTAAGGGGAGAGACTTCTAACATCCATCATTTGCTTCAATCAATGCAATCATTCTCATTCTCTCACTATCCATGTAGTCAAAATTACCCACCAGCTCGATCTCATCATGAGTCGTTCATACCGACCTCAAAGAGCCAATCCATAGTCAATGAAAGCATTGTAGATATCTTATATTTGGAGACCGATTGGTTGTTTTGGGAACCTATAAACATGACTAAATGGTTGCCCAATGGAAAGAGGGAAGGACATACAATACATATTCTACAAGCTTTCTTTTCAATACAAATTTCTCTATTTTTCTACTATTTCATCATTTTTACCTCTATCAAATCACATATTAAGTTGGCTCAAAATTAGTTTTTCAAATTTTGACGTTAACAGTTTGTCGCTAAAAGGAGAGCTCGTATTGTGAGTACATCCCGTATCTCTCAAAATTTCATATAAATCAGAACTACTTCATCTAAACTGAGTCATGAACCATGGATCAACTAAGAAAGCCATTCATTTACCTATCCCAATGATACAAATTCTATCGAAAACAAAATTTCAGATGTAGAACGATTTCACCCAGGTCGAACCTCACTATACCGAGGCGATGTTTCTTGTATGTGAAAGAAATTGGAACCTCTTGTTTGAATGAGTCCACCTCGAGCTCAATGAATCCCCATCCAGATCGGACCAAGTCCGAACCTATCTCATTATACCGAGGTGGAATCCCCCGTATGAGGAAGAAATGGGTAACCTCCTGCACAAAGGAGTCTACATCAAGAAGAATGAAACTTTGGAAGAACTGGAATGTTATTAATGGGCTAGATACACAATGATCACTTCCTCCAAAAAGGTAAACAACCTAGCCTCATTCAAAACACGCTCATTAAAGAAACAGATGATGAGCATGACCTAAGCCACCTAAGAAAATGAATAGCTGTCGATGTTAGGTCAGCCCAGCCAGTAAATGTTAGCTCGGCCTAGGATAGCTCTCCATGTTAGGAAACGAAGAACAGAGGTGGTTCGAATAGCTACCACAAGGGTCAGCTCCTAGCTTGGCCTATGACAGGCCAGCTTTCCATGTTAGGAGATGAAGAACAGAGCTAGTTCGAAGAGCTGCCACAAAGGTCGAGCAATATTTTGACCGACTTGACCACAGCCTACCTAGCTCAATTCGTAGGCTCTAAAGCTAAGATCGTGCCCAAAGAATGATTGATGACCACAAAATAAAGATGAAGTCAATCACTACAAACTCACCTCAGCAAGCTTAACACTTTAGCTGAGCCTATGACAGGTCAACTCTCCTTGTTAGGTGACAAAGAACGGAGCTAGTTCAAAGAGCTCAACATTTTAGCTCAGCCAAAGAAAATGAGGTCGGCCACCAGCAACACCATCATTTAAATACAATCGTAGAAGGGATCTTTATGCAAGTGGGGTAAAAAAGGTCTTCCGTAGACCACTTCCCTTAAGAAAGAACTTAATGAGTCTCAACCAACATAAGCAATGTCAGTACCAAAGGTTGGCAAGTCACCACACTAAAGAACTTCGGGACCACAAAAATCAAGTGAAAATCTTAAATCGGCCTCGGTCAAATCGAAGAATTTTATGGCCAAACTTGGAGAGACGATTTTGATATCTCCAATATTATGACCTCGGCCCACTGGATACCAAGGGTATAGATATGCAACAGATAGGCTCAACTAGTAAACGAGTCGAATAAAATTCAGGTTAGCTCGGAGCTCATCCACCCAAACTTAGATGTGTTCACTTGGAGTCGCAAAAGCCATGGAAGGAGTCAATCCAAAAACCATTAGCAAAAGTATCGACCCCTCAGCTCAACCAAAGTAGTAAAGAAAGAGGCCACTTAACCAAAAGATGATAAAAATCGAGCTAAACTACAATATACAAATCCTTGCTTGCAACATCCTCCTGAAGCAAGACCTAACTCATATTTTCACATTCTGGGGATGAGCGCAAGCTCGTGGTTTTCTTACAATTGAAAATGAACCCCAGCCCATGACATCTCATTGAGGCGAGTCCATGAGACCTTTCAACAACAAGGCTAAGTCGTAAGACTTCATCTCATTAAGGCGAGTCCGTAAGACCCCACAAACCTTTCTTCCACTCTTCAACTGCCGAGCTTAGGAATTCTTCAAAGCCTTGCTCCATACGGAGGTCTAACTAAGGTCGTAAGTGCTGCAAAACTTAGACGAAATTCTTCATAAGGAATTCTTCAAAGCCCTGCTCCATACACAGACCTAGCTAAGACCGTAAGTGCTACGACACTTAGACGAAATTCCTTCTAAGGAATTCTTCAAAACCCTGCTCCATACGCAGGTCGAGCTAAGGTCGTAGTGCTGCGACACTTAGAAGAAATATCTCCTAAGGAATTCTTCAAAGTCCTGCTCTATACGCAAGTCGAGCTAAGGTCGTAAGTGCTGCGACACTTAGACAAAATTCCTCCTAAGGAATTCTTCAAAGCCCTACTCCATACGCAAGTCGAGCTAAGGTCGTAAGTGCTGCGATACTTAAAGACTGAGCTAAGGTCATAAGTGCTGTGACACTTAGACGAAATTGCTCCTAAGGAATTCTTCAAAGCCCTGTTCTATACGTAGGCCGAGCTAAAGTCGTAAGTGCTGTGATACGTAGAAGATATTGCTCCTACGGAATTCTTCAAAACCTTGCTCCATATGCAGGCCGAGCTAAGGTCGTAAGTGTTGCGACACTTAGACAAAATTTCTCCTAAGGAATTCTTCAAAGCCCTGCTCTATACTCCATACGCAGGTCGAGCTAAGGTTGTAAGTGCTGCGACACTTAGATGAAATTTCTCCTAATGAATTCTTTGCCTTGCTCCATATGTAGGTTGAGCTAAGGTCGTAAGTGCTGCGACACTTAGATAAAATTCCTCTTAAGGAATTCTTCAAAATCCTGCTCCATACGCAAACCGAGCTAAGGTCGTAAGTGCTGCGACACTTAGACGAAATTCCTCCTAAAGAATTCTTCAAAGTCCTACTCCATACTCCATACGTAAGCCGAGCTAAGGTCGTAAGTGTTGCTACATTTAAACGAAATTTCCTCCTAAGGAATTTTTCAAAATCCTGCTCCATAAACAGGGCAAAATTTCTCATAATGAATTCTCTAAAAACTTTGCTCTTCAGTAGTACAATCTAAGGCTGTAAGTGCTACAACACTTAGACAAAAGCCTGCTCTCAGTGGCCCAAACCTTGCTCTTCAGCAGTACCAGCTAAGGTTGTAAGTACTACAACACTCAGTCAAAGCCCCGCTCTTCAGTAGCACAAAACCCTACTCTTCACAGTCCTCTTCCCAACTTCCTTATGTGTTCAAATAAGTGCAATTCAAACGAAATAGAAAAAGTCAAATAGCTAGAAAAAAGTGAACTTAGAGATTGCAGACTTCTCCTTAAATTGGAAAAGTGATTCTGTAACAAAATCTGACTTAGAAAAGGCTAGAGTCGCTAACTTGACCTCATTCCTGAACTAACCTGTGGTTGACAGACTTTCAAAAAAGTAGGATCATGCTTACTCCGAGCTGGAAAATAAAGGTCAGAACTTTATAGAAGTAAATGTCCAGACCTTGGGGGCATTTGTTGACGTCCAAAAAATCAACTCGGGCATATTTTAATCTAAGAATGAAAGCTTATGAATATTCAATGGTCACTTTGAAGATGATGGGCTAAACGGTCACTAGGTCAACTCATGGAGGTCAGCTCTACCTATGAGCTCCACCGAGGTAGGTCGGCTCATCTAGAGGTCAGCTCTATCGAGGCAGGTCAGCTCATCTTGATGTTAGCTCTACACATGAACTCTATTAAGTTAGGTCGGCATCGAGGTCAGCTCTATGCATGAGCTCCACCATGGTAGCTCAGCTCGAGCCATAGTCATGCAGAAACACCATCATTGTAATTTTAGACATGTGTCTCCTAAATTATGTCATAACCACCCAGATGATCATTCCCAAAGCGACAAGTGGAACCTATGACATCAACACCTTATTTTCAGCCAATAAGAAATCAGCAATGATTACTAGGTGTCAGGTAATCATGACCCAAGTCATGATGACTTGTTCAACCAACCTTTACAGCTAATCAGCATCCTTGAATTTAGGATATGGCACACACTTCTAGGTCAGTACTGTAGCTGATGTGATGTGGAAGGGCCAAGTTGCTTGATTAGAGGCCAATGGTATTCCTCAAGGGGAGAGACTTCTAACATCCGTCATTTGTTTCAATCGATAAAATCATTCTCATTCTCTCACTATCTATGCAGCCAAAATTACCCACCAGCTCAACCTCATCATGAGCCGTTCATACCGACCTCAAAGAGCTAATCAATAGTCAATGAAAACATTGTAGATATCTTATTTTTGGAGGCCGATTGTTGGGAACCTATAAACATGACTAAATGGTTTCCCAATGGGAGGATGGAAGGACATACAATACAAATTCTACAAGCTTTCTCTTCAATACAAATTTCTCTATTTTTCTACTATTTCATTCTTTTTACCTCTATCAAATCACCTATTAAGTTGGCTCAAAATTAGTCTTACAAATTTTGACATCAACAATGTCTGTTCTAGGTACAAAGCTCGAGCGTCAAATTCTTGGGTTAGGAAATGGACGCCTTCGAGACATTGGGATATCTTCTTCCAATCTACACAATTTGGAGAAGGAGTTGGAAGTAGAACGTGCTGCTCGTAAGATACTGATACAGTTCAAGTAAACATAGAGCAAAATATGCAAAACAAACTAAAGGTTGTTGAGCAGCAATTTGGTTCTACATTACAATCTTGGCATCATTCTATAGAACAATTATGTGGTAAAGTTCCTGGCTTCATTGTACCACCATTTATACCATTACCAATAGAGAATAATAGTAATGAGAAAGATGATACGCCTCCTGGGGTATATCTCAGTGTTGCAAAGGATAATGGTGAGGTATACTCAGCCTTGTTGGCAGTCGCAGTGTAAGAGTTCGATTCTTGAAACATGGATTGTGACATTTTGTGGACACCAGTGTATAGACAGCTCTTGTTCTCTGATCTGATGGGGCACATCCAGCGATTAACCTCTCCCACAATGCTGCAGGGGCGAGGCGGTGGGGACCCTTAAGGTTGTGATTCAACCTTTAATGAGAAAAATGATACTATTGAGGATGAATAGAATAACTTTGGTGAGACGCAGCACATATCTAATTCACCGGAATAAATAGTCATGTTTTTTATGTGCATAACAATAGATATATAGCATGTTTACTCTACTCATTTTAACTTTAGATGTAATCATACTTGATGAATATCATTTATTCGTGTGTTGATGAAATATTTTGGATTTAATGTTGATTGACATTACATTTTAATTGATTTATTATTATTTTTGTATTTTTATATTATTTTGATTGAGGTTTAAAAAATTATTATAATATAAATAAAAAATATATAAATATTTTAATTTCTCCCCCCTAATTCTTTTTTAATAGCTTACAAATATGCTTTTCCCGCTAAAAATTATTTGCAGAAAAATAGGGTTTAACTTGTCACAAACTTTTAATTATAGGGACAAATGTCTATCTCTTGGCCCACATATAAATTTTTCACACAAAATATTGGGGACAAACACGATGTAGCCCATAAAATAATTTGTAGGGCAAAGCGAAATCGTTTCATGGGCAGAAGTAACTTTAGCAGATGAATTACTTTGTCGGGGGAAAACTTACACGACGAATTGTATTCATTTCCAAAAGGTTCGTAGGGAAAAACTTTAGCAGACAAATTTCAAAAATTTGTCGCCTTATATCTATCCCTTCGATGTTTGCCTCACAAATGTGCCTACAAAATTATTTTGTCAGCAAAGGTTTGTCCCTACAAATAAATTTTGTAGAAAAAACATAAAATTCTTGTAGTGGTAGATTTTGATAAAAGTTTTTGAAATGTATGATTAAAAAGTTGTGGAATCCATGAAATATATGGTTGAAATTAATTGTTAGACTTTGACTTAGATTAAAATAATATCAAAACATGGCCTATAATAGTAATTTTTTTAAAAGAAGAGTGATGCTACACAGAGTCAACGATTGCAATTGTTCTATGCATTAGCTTGTTATTTTAAAATATTAATTTTCTATAGCTCTGTTGCCTAAAATAACATAATAATATTATTTATAGTCAACGACTATCGTAATCGTGATAACTTGTTATTTGAAACATTAATTTCCTATAATTCTATTACCTCAAACGATAAATTAATATATCAAATAACAAACTATCACGTAGGTCAATTAGTGCAATAACTGACATTGATTAAATTACATGTAAAATTATTTTCTTAGATAATATATGAGTAAAGAATGCAACATCACTCCAAATACAGCTCAACTGCCCAAAGGATAAAAGAATTATTTATTTTTTAAAAAACTACCTAATAAAGTGTCGGCACTAGGAGTGGACCACTTGGTCTGTTCCCATTGGTCTGAACCGGTTTTAATTAGAACTCTCGAATCAAATGAGACAACTTAACACACCAAAATTAATTATGACCGAAATATTTCTTATTCCTCGATTTGTATGGAAACATTCTATATTGAACATCAAACTTGGGAGAATTGATGAAAATTCTCAACAAACATTCAGCAAAATCTGGCCAAATAGATGTCAAAATTCACTAGTTCTTCATTTTTTTAGAAACACATCATCGCATGTTAACAACAAAATTCGACAAGAAAAATAAAATAAAGGTAACTTCAATTTTATTTAGATATTTACTTTTTGAAAAAAAAAATCAACAAATAATTCATTTTAAGTCCAACCAACCAAGAAATCATCATATATATATGAAGGGTCAATAAATGAGAACCAACACAATGAACATGTGAAAAAATTAAAGTATTATGAAAAGATCATCGAGTTAGAAGTCTAATGATTTTTACGGATCTCAACTTCGACCTCTATACAAAAAGTTACGCACATTTATGTTCTAATTGTATCGTTGTCCAAGTGGGGGGAGGTGCGGGGGATGGTCGCTCCAACCTCTCTAATGATGAAAGTCGACCCAAACACTTGGGGAAAAGTTTTTATTTGTGATTTTCAACCCAACAATTAAAATTTAAAATGAAATATTTAAATTGAATCTAAGTATAAGTTAAAAAAATGCAACAATTAAATTTTAAAATAAAATATTTAAACTGAATCTAAGTATAAGTTAAAAAAAAAAAATGCAATATACAATGAACGCTTTAAAATGTCAAATGTGAGACAAAATGCAATTGATCAAGGAAGTAGCAACATTTAAATATAAGATTAACCCACAAACAATATAATAAAATTTAATGAAAAGGGTTTTACTTTATGGTCCAACCGGTCAAATTTAATCGATAACTTTTGCATCTCTGCGTCAATATTATTCACCATCCATAAATTTAGAAACAATTGTCAAAATACTATTCAAGATAAATTACCAATACTTTATTATTATTTTTCTATTCATTTAATTGCATAAATATACAAATACGACGATTTTCTTTGAATTTTTTTTTGACCCAACAATTAAAATTTAAACACTATACTTAACAATTCATCACCGTACAATTAAATACTTAAAAAGACAAAAATCATTAAAAAAATTTTTTTTTTACAATAAAAATGTATATGTGATGGGGCTAGACTAGGTTATATCCACCAATGCCAATGATGAAGGGTTCACTCAGGGATGTAAAACGGGTCGAGTGGAAATAACGAGCCCGAGCTCGAGCGGTGTAGGGGGCTCAATTCCATGAGTCGACCCCTCGAGCGGCTTGTGGGCTCATAAAAAATGTGCAAATTTACCAAAAAAAAATTAAAAAAATAACGAGCTTGTGAGCTGCTCGTGGGCCAAGCCTAGCTTGCCCCCGAGCAACAAGCCGAGCTTGACCTTGACTCGTCTAATGACGAGCTCGAGTTGAGCCTGTGGGTTAAAGGGTCGAGCCGACCCATCCCTAGGTTCACTAATATAGTTTGCGGCCAAGTGAACCTTCTGGCTGTACTAAAGAAGGTAACTAGATTTCGAATTTATTTATCTTTGGGGAATCTTTTACCCTTCTACCGATATAAAGAAAGATTGAAGAAGCTCAAACCATGCAAACCAAAATTTTCTACCTTGAATAAGGGAATAGAAGAATATCTCGTTGCCATTAGTTAAGGGGGTGCACTGCCATGTAGTCACTATTAAAAAGGAAAAATAGAATTAGATGTTGATAACGATCCGCCTGATGAATAGTCGTCACATGTCTATGAAGAAAGACCTTTTATTCTATTTTCTCCTATAAATACTCCATCTAGTTTGAAGAAAAAGGGATGAAATAAAACCCAAAACTGAATCTCACACCCTTTTAATGTATTTTTAAATTTTTTTTTTTTATTAATGATTTGATTGTCAACGTGCAAATGGTCGTTAAACCATTCATTAGAATGATTACCTCTACAATCTAACGGTGTCAAATGCATAGGTAACATATATGTGCGTACGGAGGTGGCAAAAACCTATTGACAGTTTAATCCACTGACTTTTGTTATTTATTTGACAATTATATGTATATTTCCAAAATATATAATTTACCTATTTTTAGCTTAGATTAATTAAAAACTATGGATTTTAAAGCATAATTAATAAATGTCCTTAAACCTTATGAGGTTAGTCAACACATGCACCGAGTCAAGGGATAAAATTTAAGTGTCCATTGAATAAATTTTTTTATAGAAAACATTTTGCAACTTTTGTTCATTCAATCTTATTTTCCTTAAAAACAATTAAAACATTCTTTTAGTGAGGGGTGATTTTATGGACAAGTATAATATTTGTTAAATTGAAAACTAAATTAATCAAATATATTTAATTAATAATTTCCACGCAAATAAGTTCTGGACAATTGAACTGATTAAAACTTTATTTTTTTCATATGCAAATTTCATTTTCGCAATCAAACGCATCCTAAAACTTTTTTAGATGATCATGAAACTTCAAAAGTTTTTTAAATGATCACCAAACTTATCTAATGGTATTCTATTGGGCATTAAATTTTAAAAGTATTTTGGATGGTCATTGAACTCATCAAATTATTATTTTATCTATTACTTAATAATTCACCGTTTGAAAATTCAACGAACTCATAGGCATGGCAAAAGAAAATGCTAACAGACACACTAGATGACAAATCAGTCAAAAATCGTGCTTATAAAATATACGATTAATTATAAAAATAATATTAAATGAAAATACATATAAACAACAAGAAAAATGCAAAGGTTAAAATCCAACTGTACTTTAGAAGCGCTTTTAATATATGAAAGCACGTTTTTGATTGATTTCTCGTCATATAACGACAATAATGTCTGGCACTAGCATTTTGTTTGTCGGATCATCATATGATCATATTTGAACGATGAATGTAATAACGATTTGATACGTCATACGTTCAGTGACCATTCAATTTTTTTTTCCAAAGTTTAATGGCCAATGAGATAATTTATTAAGTTCGATGACAATCTTAAAATCTTTTAAAATTTAGTGACCAATGAGATAACTAATTGATATGTTCGTTGATCATCTATTTTTTTTTTCTTTTTAAAGTTTAATGATTAATGAAAAATAGAATTGTGCTACGTGTACAATAATATATAAGTATCAAAATCTTGAAAATTATTGTGTAAAGTTCAATGATTTTTTTGACTTTTTCACCCCCAAGAAAAAGTAGAAAAATATGATTAGATCTCGTCTCGACGCAAGAAGTTGTAATTGCAACCATCCCATTATTTGCTTGTTGGCCATCTGTTGCCAAATCATTAAAAATAATTAATTTTTTAAGAGTTGCTTAACAAAGTTGCATTTAAGTGTCAACTCCATCCAAGAGACAACAAAATCCAAGTATTCTCTTAATCATAATTACCTTAATTACAGAAATGATCTGTGTAATCTAACCACTAAAACCGTAAAAAGAAGTCACTCAATAATCTTCCAAAATCGCTATGTTTTAGAGAGAGAAGCCGCATTGTTTTAGAGAGAGAAAAGAGAGAACCTGGTCTGAAGTCATCATCATTGCAACACAAAGATCCAACAACAATCCATTCCCTCTTTTTTACTCCTTACCTTAAATATTCTCCATCAGTACACTTTATGTCGCGTAAGAGCAAAAATTTGACCCGGAATTGTGAAACCTTGACCTTGTTGAAGGGATGAACACCAGATCATTATCTTGATATAAATATAGAAATTTTAGCTCATGATATTGAGTTTATATGGTAATAAGAGTTAAGAGGGCCAACAGCAGCAGACCCATGTCAAGAACCGTGTTGTCTTCAGGTAAGCAGCTTATCTGACTTTAGGTAGACTTCATAGATTTTTTGCCCCCACCAAGGAAGAGATCCCCTCGTGCTGTTAAACGGAAACCTAAACGGCCAACTAATTTGATTGATGAATTCCTTGACGAGTCTTCCCAAATAAGGCACATATTTTTTCCTGATATGGAAACTGCTGTAGATCCTACTAAGGATGCTGGCAACAACAGTTTCTTCTATTACCCAGGGAGAATATGGGTGGACACTGATGGAAATCCCATTCAAGCCCATGGAGGTGGCATTTTATATGATAAGAAATCAAAGACTTACTATTGGTATGGCGAGTATAAAGATGGTCCCACTTACCATGCTCACAAAAAGGGAGCCGCACGGGTAAGTTCTAGTATGAGATTTTTCCTTTGAGGTGGATTACATTTTCCTAATTCATGAATGACATCATGATTGATTCTTTTTCGTCATTTTTAAAATATAGAGCCATAGACTTCCTGTGTTGTTTCAATGCGTCGATGGTACTTTTCATTTCATTTCATTTTTCCCAATTTTTTCTTTCTCTCGGGGTGGGGCTGCAGAGATACAATCACATGAGCAAATGCATTAGGTTGTTGGTTTTTGCATTTATTACTCCTTTCATGTAAATTATATATGCTTAAATATTGGAAGAAATGTTCTATAGAATTTGCTGTGTATTTCGTGACTTCCTTTCTCCAAACTAAGTGCAAGTTTATGAAGAGGTGTCTTTTCTGTGTTATTATGGGCAAGGCAATATGTAAGCCTTCACATCTGTTCATTTTTGAAGGTAAAATTATAGTTACAACATAATAAAGGTCATGCAAGCCCCTGATACACCAGCATGACTGCAGAACGAAAAGTATGTTTTTATGCAAAACCCCTAGAAAAATGACTGCATCCCACCCAAAGGTCGAGCTCTAAAATTCTAACACCAGAAATTATGCCGTGCAATAAAAGCTATAAAGGATTTTTATTTTTATTATTATTATTATTATTATTATTTTTTGATTTTTGGTTCCTTTCTAATTGAATTCCCTCACTTTCTAGCCTCTTGAATTCTCGATCAAGCCAGTATTTAGGCTTTGTTTTCATTATGGTATTCTCTTTATCACTTCCTCCTTTTCATCTATTCAATTACATTGTTGTCAATGTCTTTTCTCTTTTCATTGTCCAGTCTGTAAACCTCAATCAATTCAACAAGTTTAATCTCCTCGAAATTTTAAGCCCCCCTGTTTTTCTTTTCGAGTAATGGATTTTTTTCCTGCACATTGCTTAATCTCCTTGAAATTTTAAGCCAACCTATTTTCCCTCTTGAGTAATGAATTTTTTCCTGCACACTGCTTAATCTCCTTGAAATTCTATGCTGCCTCTGTTTTCCTTTCAAGTAATGGATTTTTTCTGCACACTGTGATAGACGTAAGTTGGAGCTTTGCATTGCAAGATCATGGGGTCTTTTGTTTGCATTGAAGTATGATATCAGACCCAACATGGTTGTGTTAAATTGATAAAATGCTAGATAGATGACCATCGTTATTTGTATGTATGTGAGTGGCACCTGCCAATCTATTTTACTGATGTGGTGGGTTACTAACTCTATTGATGAATCCATATTGGGCTTCATGTTTGTGCACTCAAGATAAAAAGTCAGAGATTGGAATGGATGGAATGGATGCACAGGGGGTTAGGGGAGCCCATCTGATCGAATAATGAAAAAATTGATTGCCATTATATAAATGTTCAGAGATTTAAAAAATTTGGAGAATTCTAATGGATCTCTTGGGGGAAAAATAATGAGAGATTGAAGTGTTGTGATTTCATTGACTGGGTGGAGTAGAAGTAATGGTAAAGGGAATGAGCAGAGGAGCAAATCAAGGTTCAAATGAGAAGTGAAAAGGCCAGAATGATCTAATAATTATGAAGGAAATTATAACAATGGAAAAAGGAAAGACTAAAGAAAAATGAACTTCGATAAATGTTCTCAATTGATCTATGGTGTTTGGCTTTTGTTCGCTTAGAAGAGGTCTTATATTTGCGTACATAGTTCATTGCTTTCTGATTGCTAGACATATGGTTTTGTTGTCATCATTATAACAACTATGGAATTTGATATTTCAAAATGGGCTGTCTACCTTGGCTTATTTTATAATCTTGTCACTTGAACCAAAAATTGAAGCTCAAATCTATATTGACTTCACTTGTACCTCACCCCTGCTTGAGTTTCCTAACCTTGGGTTGCTTACCAAATTCTCCCTGAAGATTTGAGGTTCTATCATGCGAAATCATGTCTAAGAAGTTGTATAGTAAGGCGTTGATCTCATAGGCTTCTTCAAAATTATTGAGCTCATGAATGTCTAATTGGTCATTACACACACTCATGATGTCGTATTAAAAATAGACAAGTTTGGAAACACACCAAGCTGAGGAGTGAGTAAAGGGCTGCAGGAGCTGTGGAAGCGTCGTAGGTGCTGAGCAGCTGTTATTAAATAAGGGGCTGTTTGGTTCAGGATAATGGAGGTCTGTAATCATAATTGGACACAGAATGGCTTTCTTCAATTCCCTGGATTTGGTTTCTGTTCTTATTCCCCA